TAATAAATCTACAAAACATTTAGATGAAATAATGAGCAGTCAACATGCAACTTTACTGAAAACGCTGTCAAAACAACATTAAACCTTTGGGTGTTCCTTCCCTCTCACCTTCATTTGGTGAATTAATTAATGTGTGATTCTCTTTTATTATCTTATCGAAACATTCCGCCTCTTGTTCCAGGACCTGAAGAACGAGAGCGCATTCTGGATGGATGCCGCGGACCTGAGAAGGAGGTAGAAAAGACAGAAGTCTGCAACAGACTATTTAACTCCTTTACAGTAGAACTTTATAGAAATAATAGTTTTTGCTGAAGATGAATTAGAACAATCTTTTCTTTAGCGCAGTCCCAGGTAATAGCAGTCAGTGTTAATTTCGTACAAGAACATTTTTTCATTTTTATTTTGTCATTTTCATGTTTTTTTGTGACAAAAGCTAAGTAATAGAGAAGGTAATGGAACAAAAACAAAAAGGAAAGTTCTGAGAATTTTCGTTGACGAGCGAAAACGAAAATTCTGGGAGTGACTATTGCATTTGGACTTACTGTTTCCTGAGCTCTTCCTGTAGTAGGGAGATGTGCACAACTGAATAACAACATACTGATCTACTCAGCAGGACACTTGCTGCATAAACTGTACAGACATATCGACGTCAAGGAGAAAGAGAAGAGCAGCTGTATGGATGCATTTTACATTTGATGCTAGTGAGGACAAGACCCTTTGTAAACCATGTGGAACAGCAATCGTAAGTCATAACAGGCTTACTCCAGAAATATACCGTGTTTCCCCGAAAATAAGACACTGTCTTATATTTTTTTTTGGCTCAAAAAAACACACTAGGTCTTATTTTCGGGGTAGGTCTTATTTTTTAAATTTATTTTTGTATGTACAACAATCCACACTTATTCATGTACAAAAATATGGTGATCAGGGCAATCAGTGGTGCCGTACCTTTCCAAGAGCAATTTGCTAACCAATCGCTGGCCAGGATGAGCGAAGTGCACTTTCACTATCGATTCCTCACAGGCGGAGTGCATTTGGTATCACTCCGCCTGTGACAGGAGCCGGCGCTATAGAGGAGGCATCGGCTTATGCGGCCCTGTTCCCTCTGGTGCCGCCTTACTTCCTCTAGCGCTGGCTTTGTTAGCTCCGCAGATTCTCTCCTGCCTCTGCCGCGGCTCTTCAGGTTCCCCCTTTATGCCACCACCGGCCCTGGGAATGGTCACAACTAGGTCTTATTTTCGGGGTAGGTCTTATATTTTAACAATTCCCAAAAATAGTACTAGGTCTTATTTTCAGGGTAGGTCTTATTTTCGGGGAAACAGGGTATATGATGAGTTTGAACATTCTAGAGACTTGCTTAAATAATGCATTACACTTTAAATAAACCCATTAGATTTAGTCGACTAAAATATACTGGAGATTTAGTCGACTAAATTAGACTAAAACCAAAACTATTTAGATGACTAAAATACGACCAAAACCAAAATGTCATGTTAGTCAAAAGACTAAAACTAAGACTTAACATCAAAATGAACACTGATAGCAGACATAGCCAGTAAAGGTTCCCCCCACAGGAACAAATTGCGCTCCTTCATTTAGTTTACATGTACACATGCCCACCTAAATATTAGAGAATGGCTGGAGTATCATGAAGAATGCTTCCTTACCTAAACCTCACACACATGGGCCCTTATCACAGAGGATTCATGTCTTTAAAATAGTGTGGCTGCCCCTGGTCTCAGCATACTTTAGTGTAGGGCTGGACAAATCCCAGGAGTCTGGCTGCTAATGTGCCTTAAAAATGGTTGCTGGTGCCTATCTTTTGACATTTTCTCTAGTTGTTGTCAATGGAGCTGGCTCCTGAAAAAAAAAAACTGCTGGCTCCAGAATTGGACAGAGTGGCTCCAGAATTTCATATTTATTTGTCCACCCCTGCTTTAGTGTATCCATGTCACTATAGTATCACTCTCTCACTGGCTGAAACACTGCAGAATCTAGCTAGTAGTAGTTGGTCACATTCTACTGGACTTGTTCTGTCATTCTGAAGATGATTCCTAGCTTCTCCAAGCCACTTCTTCAGTTCTGATGAGTGTCAGGAATATACACCAGCATTTATATTCTCACCGGTTGCACAGAAACCTTAATCCCATCAACATGGGATTATGTCTTTAGAACATGGTGGTTCCACACCTTCCAATTATCCCATCCTGTACTTAAAGGAGAACTATGGGGTTAGGGCTTTTCCCCATAGTTCTCCTAAGGGTAACGGGAGGACACAAATTAGCATCCTCCCGTCACCCAAAGCTCAGTATACCGCGAGCTACAGCTCGCGGTATACTGAGATTTTCACTCGCCTCATAGTTCGCCTTTAATTCAATCACAATGGAAAGATACTTTATTGTCTAAGTACATCATGGGAAAAGTGAAAGGTGTGGAAGCACCATGTTCTAAATACATAATCCCATCCTTGGTGCCTTTCCATGGTGATTGAATTAAGCAGTTTGCACCACCTGGATGGATAAGTTACAAAACGTCTTCAACATTACAGAACAAGTCTAGTTAAATGGGACCAACTACTACTAGTTATACCATGACCTGTAAAAATGAGAACCTTCACAGACATATTGCAAAATCTCAATTGCTAGGGAGGGAGCGACCTCCACTATGTAGATTAATACCACTGGTGCCATTGTGCCATGGACCATATGTATATTATCCACTCGCAAGAGGAGAAATTGAAGAATCGAGTCGTAGGGGAACATAAGCTGTCATAGCCACACAACAGATGAGGTGAGAGCTCCCTGCTATGGTCATGGATGGCAGTAAAGACTGTGCAAAGTAGTCAAAACGTCTTCCTCTCTATGCTAAAATAGCACTGTATTTACACTGTGTTCATGTGCCTGGAGTGTGCACAGTGCCTATGATCAGACTGTACTACTGTTTACATCTGAGATCCCCTCCAGGAAGAGGAAGAAGGATGATCTTATGAAAAATGAATTAAAGAAGAACTCAGGCAAATCAAAGCTAAACCCTTGCAGTGGGGCTACCATTCATCCATGTTACTGAATGTCTCTACCAACGTCTGGACATAGCCAGGAGGAAGAGACTGCAGGAGCCGGAGTATTGCTCTCACGATCTAATGAACACGGTTGCAATGCTTTATTGACTCCTATGTAAAAAAATAATAAATGCACATTTTATGAAGATGTGTACATTTGTTCCTGTTTCTCATAAAATGGACTTTTGACTTTAAGAGTAATGAATGTTGACTTGTTTAGGGCCTAAATCCAAAATGCAGACAAGACAGCCAGCTTTGTTTTATATGCTCTTCCTGTATGACCCACTAGGGTACTTTGCATGTGCTGCACTCATAGATCTTGGTGGCTTGTCAGCTGAACTTACCTCATGTAATATAAATGAGGCCACTTTAATATTTTCTTCCTAGGAACATGACATATATAGAATTCAAAGACAAAAGGAAATTGCGTTGACCCAGACCCCTTCTAAGGCTGTTTTTCTACGATAAAATGAAAAGAACCACTATCTTGTCAGGCTGATACCACTGTCCTGCGTGGGTGGCATATAGTACAGAGTATACTTTTATGAGTTATGGTATAGTCATATAAATAAGTCAAGATGCACAGATTATAGGATCTAACAACACTGTCACAAGCCTAGTGATTATAATTAGTATGTGCAATGCCTGCGATTAGATTCAAGCATAATGTCAAGTAACACAAGCAAGCTTTTCACTGTACTATTGTAGCCAAGTATAGAGGAGATGTTACTTACAGCTTTAAAATCATTGTCGTAAAGGGCGTACTCTGCAGTACATTGGTTGTCCCCAATCAGAGTCCCTCCTTACATTGGTTGTCTCCATCAGAGTCCCTCCTTACATTGGTTATTCCCATCAGAGTCTCTCCTTACATTGGTTGTTCCCATCAGAGTCCCTCCTTACATTGGTTATTCCCATCAGAGTCCCTCCTTACATTGGTTGTTCCCATCAGAGTGTCCCCTTACATTGGCTGTTGCTAGGGATGCACCGAAATTTCGGCCGCCTAAACATATCGACTGAAAATGGCACTTTTGGCAAAATGCCGAAAGTGCCATCTTTCGGTCGAAATTGCGGTACATCCCTAGTTTCTCCCCTCCGCTGTGCACTGCTCTCTGTCCCCTCTGACACAGCACAGTGTCCAGCGGGGTGGAGAGAAATGGTCATAGGAGGATGGGCAGTGTGGGGGAGGAGAGCGATGTGAACACCCAGCATGTCACAGGAGGCTGGGCTCTAGCGCACCGCCCCGCTCAGCCTCATGTGACAGATCAGGAGAGTGAAGAAAGCTGTCAGCTGTCACAGGAGGCCCGCCGGGGGGGGCGGGGGAGGAGTCAGCTGTCAGAGTAGATGAGCTCTCCCCACCGCACCGCTCGCTCAGCCTCCTGTGACAGCGAGTCAGGATGGAGAACGAGTGCAAATACTCAGTGATCAGTGATCGCTTACTGCTTGTAAATAATTGAGGACATAGTATGTTTACTGTGTCCCCATTTAAAACTGAACAGGAAGTGCTCTATATCACTTCTTGTTCATTCATAATTGTGGACATGGTAAACATACTATCTCCACAAGTTATGAATGACCAGGAACACTCAGTATAGAGGCTTCTTTTAATTTTCGGTTTCATTTCGGTTTTGAAAATGTCATTTCGGTGCACCTCTAGTTGTTACCATCAGAGTTCCCACCCTCTTTTGCAATTAATGCAAAAGGACACCATGTTCGGGGCAACTTCTGATGTGGACAACTATTTAGTTGTCCCCATCAGAATGTCCCCTTAAACTGATTGTCCACATCAGAGTCCCTCCTTTCATTGGTTGTCCCCATCAGAGTCCCACCTTACATTGGTTGTTTCCATCAGAGCGCCCTCCCACTTTTTTAATCAATGCAGGAGGGCACTCTGATGGAGCAACTAATGCAGGAGGCACTCCATTGAGGACAACTAATAATTAGTTGTCCACATTAGAGTCCCTCCTTACATTGGTTGTTCCATCAGAGTGCCCCCCCCCCACTTTTATAATTAATACAAGAGGGCACTCTGATGGGGCAACTAATCTAAGGAGACACTACAACTAATAAGTAGTTCTCCACATTAGTGTCCCCATAAACTGATTGTCCCCATCAGAGTACCCCCTTATTTGCATAATTAATGTAAGGGAGCACGCTGTTGGGGACAACCAATGTAAGGGGGGACCCTGATGGAGACAACTAAGTTCTGGTAGGCCAGAGGCTGGAGACAGGAGGTAGAGCAGGCTGCAGGAAATACTTCCTTCCATTTTCCTGTAATGCTAGGGGCAGGGAATACATTTGACGTCACTGATTGCTAGGACTGCCCAGCTTTGGGCAGCTCATGTCATTGGTTGCTAGGACTCCAGTGGAGAACAGCAGAGAGTGAATAGCCAAGTGCTGCCGAGCAGCATTCGACTCAGTCATTCTGTTTGCGGTGACGTCACAACCATTTGTTTTCATGCCATGACAGTTCTATGTCTTAAAATGGCATTAAAAAAAATGGCCGGCACAAGTTTTGCTATGTCTTGACTTGCTCCCCCCATTTGTTTACATTCGGGTAGAAGCTGTCATTTGCGGTGGGAATTCGGCGTGGGTTGGCGGACTACAGAACGTTTTTGTTTTTAGCGAGTCGTTGGTGTCGTTCATAGTGATTGACGCTGGATTACATCACTGGACAACATGATTGATGCTGGATTACAGTGTTGGATGATTTTTGGGTTTCTTTTTTTTTCCTCAAAGGGTGGGGGGGGCTTTATGAAAGGAGGCACCCAGATACAGATGATCTCCCCTGCACGCAGACCCCCACAACCGCCCGGCCAGGGTTGCGGGAAAAAGACCCTTGTCCTCATCGGCATGGGGACAAGGTGCTTTTCCAGGGGGTCCCCTGGAAGAGCACCCTCCCAATGCCGCAGGTATGTGGCCTGGTATGGCAGGGAGGTGCCAGGCACCTGCTTGGATTAAGGGTCCGGTTTGGAATCTTAATGGGGACCCCATGTTATTTTTCATTGTTTGGGCATTGGGGTCCCCCTTAAAATTCCTTCCAGACCTAAAGGGTCTGGTATGACTTTTGGGGGGGGACCCCACGATTTTGTCTTTTTTTCTATCGGGTGTCCCTCTTAACATTCCTACCAAACCTAAAGGGTCTGGTATGATTTGGGGGGGAGACCCGACACATTTTTTTACAATCTATTTTTTTAACAACTAGCGGGGATTCTCCCAGCTTCGGTGGTGTCTTCAGCTGTGCCGAGCCAAAGCCTATGCGTTTGGCTCGGTTGTGTGCTTTGGCTGCCTTCAGCTCCTCTACGGGCTATTGAGAATAGCTCGTACAGCAGCCCTTTGGTTAGGCTGAATCGGAGGGTTCCTGAAGCTGAAGAGAGCCAAAGGATTAGCCGAACATTCGGCTAAATCCTTCAGCTCTTGAGTGAATAACCTTCTTAGTGAGGAAAACTGTTGGAGATAGCTGATACCAATCACATACCCAGCAAATGAGATTTCAGAGGTGTTCAGTGAAACAGTGTACAGGACCTCTCCAGTGTTAGAAGACATATCTGAATTATTTGGACCTTGTAGAAAATTGTATCCGGACTCGTTTCAAACATTTTTGATATTATTAGATGACAACATGTATTATGTATATAACACCACAATTATTTTCAAGGCTAAACTCCAGGCAAGCAGATATATTATAACACATATACAGGTATTCCTCACTTAACGACCGGGTTCCGTTCCTACGACTCTGGTCCAGACTCCTAATAAGGCTGCTCTCAGCCACTTTATCAGCCCAAGCTGGCCATTGGTAACACCAGGCCCCACTGGAGATCTCATCCTACCCAGAGCTCTAAGAGATCTCCAGAGCTCCAGATTCCAGCAACAATTAGGAAAACCTGGAAGGAACTGAAAAGCCAGGCTCTTCCTTATGCCATTGTTTACATTCTGGACCCTCTTGCATATGATGTACCTGAGAATTACACAGCCTTGACAGACAGCAGAGCAGCAGCTTAGTGACCTGTATTTTCACAAGTAGATTTAAGCAAGACAGCTTGGTCACCTTCTTGCCCCCGGCCTGTAAATGGACACACTGCAAATCACAGTTGAGCAGCAGCAGATTGATAACGCCATCCCTCTGCTCACTCTGCGCCCCCTTCCAGTCAGTATTCCCTGTGTTAGCACATTTGCATGTAGCACCCCTTACTGAGTGCTGGCCCTTCCTTTGAAAGTCAGAGTGCAGATGTACAGGGAAATATAGGAGGTTGATGCAAAATCATTCTCACACTAAATGCACAAATCATACAGCTTAGTTATTTTCAATAAATGCATAACTGCCTGCCTTGAGCTCAGCTTTAAAGTAGATCTAAACACTAACTGGAAGACTTTTATGTTCCTAGAGTACTGTGTAATACACCCAATTGCCGTGTGCTTTTACATAAAGACATGCTGGTAGGTTAATTGGCTTGTGTCTAAACCAGCCCTTGTATGTATGCATGTGATATTGTTGGCGCTGTAAAAAAACTGTAATAAATAAATATAAAATACCATTTTCACTTCTTGTTTATCTTTGTTGTATTTCAGTGCCTCTGATCTCCTCCTGCCCCTTTCAGCCGCTTACTGTCTCGTTGCCTTGCTCCAGCATTGGCTGAATATCATGGCTCTGGCTCTGGAAGCCGAGCTGAGAGAGTTGGAGCCAGCTGTCCAGGAACATGACTGTAAATGCTTGGGCAAAATGTAATGAAACATTTTTCTGGCCAATATATATTTGTTTGATCTGGATTCATTACTGAAAAAAAGTTTGAGCGTTTTCTAATACTTCAATACAGGATGTCCCACAATACAACTGAGCAGAGCATTAGGGTTTTTCTCACAAGAGCACAACTGAAACTGTTTCCTTTCAGACTGTCTCTCTCTAATTGAAAGCCCAACTCAAGTTTGCTTCCACTGCCTCTTCTCTAGTCCTCGGTCCACCCATTGTTTTTAACGAATGAAAACATACATACCTTTATTGCCGGTGTCTTCTGAGAGGTTACCTAATACACAGGGTCCCTACTCTTCTTCGGTGGCATCAGTGTTTTGGTGGACTATAGTTATGGTTAGGACAGCATGCACATTGCGACATACAAGCACTGTCCTGTAGGGGGCATCTCTTTAACAACTTGGGCTCGCATGAAATGCCAGTAGTAGGGGTATGTGGGGGGTAATACGAAAGCCTGAAGAGGGGGAGTAGAACTTAATTTTTTTGGGCAAAAAGCAGGCACAGAAAACGATTTAATTCTGGAGCTGAGCTTGAAATTCTGCTGTTCAGAGCAGGAAGATGAATCATTCCTACTAAGAATAACCCTAGGGTAAAATATTATTAACCCTTGTAGTAGGGCTACCCCCTGCATTGCAAGGTTTAATTGCTCACCTGAACCTCGGCTGTCACAAAGCTCCCTCTTACCTATCCCCTGCTACTCTGCAGTCATGGTATGTCCCGCGGCGTCCTCACGTCCAATCCGCATTGGACGTGATGGCTCGAGGATCCTTAGACTGCTGCAGCGGAGGGGCAGAGAAGCTGGAAGGACCAGCCTAAGAGCAAGCAGGCTGCGAGGTTCAAGTGAGTATAACTTTTTTTATTTTAGTCCCTAGACAAAAACGAGCACTTAACCCTTGCAATCCAACCCCACTGCAAGTGCTAATAATATTTTTTCTTTAACTCATTTAGCTGTGTGTGTAATCTGAACTTCTATTAAGCTCTAGATACAACCAGCATTTTTTAGCAAGGTAGTTAAGAGCAGCCTGGTAAACTATATGAGCCCAGAGCTTTCCCTGCTGTCTGTCTGTTCCTACATATTTATGAGGAATTTATATTCATTATAAGATAAACTGTTACAGTTTGTTGTTGTGGTCTGGCATTGCTGCTACTGAGCTAAGTGAGAGGAGATGAAAGTATGCATAAGCCTTTCTTAAACGTGGCACACCGGGGGTGCCTTCTGGCTTCCTCAGGGTTGCCTCCACAATTCTGATGGTAGGACTCTAATGTGACAGGGGATGCTGATATAAAAGAGGTGATTCCAATATGAAAGGGAGACCCCTGGTGTGAAGGGGGCTCCTTATTTAAAGGAAGGACTTTAATGCAAAGGAAGGAACCTCACTTTTTTACATGGGGTCCCCCTTTTACATTTTAGACTGGGGTGCCTTGAGATTTTCCATATTTTTTAAGGGTGCCGTGAGCCAAGAAAGGTTGGGAAACACTGCTATAGAAACTATAGCAATACCTACAGTTTATGTATTAGAATTCATTTTTAGATATGTCAAAGCTAAATTCCACATACATATTTTCATCTATTGATATCACTTGTATTAAAGGGGAAACATGGAACCTACTTGCTGAATTTCCTCTAGAAAGCCATTTCACAGCTCCTCTGGAATAAATACGCAGATAGCAAAAGCCGTGCCTTGTCTGCCTACTTGTTCTGGGTACCAAACTCAAGACTGAAGATCGTGGCAGCCAGGCAACTAGCATTTGAGTAAGTAGCCATCAACAAATCCCTTCATGCATCTTTGAGGAAAGCTTTCTAGTATGATGCTCCTTCCTTACTGATGTGGACCACCAACACGCTCTGAACACAAGACATAAGACTATATAAAAATAGAACACAACTTACCATCCCAGGGGAAAACCAGAAAAGAACAAATAGCATTTCCTTCCAGATGGTCCTCATGTCTTGCTGTTATATTCCTCGGTATGATCTCCTCTGGGAGTCCCCTGGTCCTTTTTTTTCCCTAGAGGATCTTTTAAAAGTAATTTTGAACATCCAAATGAGTTATCATATCAGTATGAAGCATCTCTCTCATCCCAGCACTTAGCCAATTGAAATAAGTAGATATAGAGCTTGTGATGATCAGGACCAGCACAGCTTGAGTTCTTATATTTGCAGCTCTATGTAGTTTTGGTGACTTTCTGTTCTTATGGAGTTAAGCTTTTACATTTTCATTCCTTGCCCTGTTCTCTATTCTCTCATATTCCTTCCTCTCTGTATCTGGTTCTTCTGACTGAACGCTGTCTTTGCCATTCCAGAAGCTTAGGTGCTGTTTCTCCTCCTCCTCCTCCTCATCCCTGTGTGCAAGCATTTTCTGCTGCGTCCCAATCTCTCTATATTAATGTATCCGTTCCCTGCCTTCAGCTTCATCACTAAACTCCAGATGCTGCTTATCTGAGCATTGCACTACTGAGCTGGAAGCTAAAGATCCTGCTTTAATAGGTTATGGATTGGCATCCACACATCTGCAATATCCTAATGACCCTTGTATGTTGGGGTGTACATTAAAGCATCATTCACACTTGCATTTTGGGCAGTTTCAAGAATTGCTCCGTGAGACTCATGCAAACTGGTGACAGCGCTGTAGCTGTTCACATGTTATTGGACATGAAGTGATTACCTGTGGACAATCGCCAAACATTTCATCCAGGTGCAATCTAACGCAGGTGCTTGCAATATGTCCGATGACATGCGAACAGCTGCAGGTGGGAATCACTATACAAAGCAATGACAGCTATCAGCGCAGCGCCCACAGCTGTTCCCATGTCATTGGTCATGCAGCAATTACCTGCAGACAATTGCCCCTGGATGCAAACAGTTTTCACCCAGGGGCAATCTAATGCAGGTAATCGCAGTATTCTCGATGATACGTGAATGGCTGAGCTAGCTGTCAGCTGATATTGCTTTGTATAGGGATTCCAACCCGCAGCCATTAGCATGTCATTTGACATGCTGCAAGTACCTGCATTAGATAGCCCCTGGATGTAAACTGTTTGCATCCAGGGGCAATTGCCGACAGGTAATCTCTGCATGTCCAATGACATGTGAATGACTGCGGGCACAGTTAGCTGTTTGCATGCATCTCACAGAGCACTACGTGAGACTACCCCAAATGCAAGCGTGAATAGCGTGTTACTAAGGGTTAACCAGGTAAATCGGAGGTCCATGGAGTGTTAGAGCCTAACTAATCAAACCTTGTATTTTTTTAGTTTTGGATAAAGTGGGGAAGAGTTAAAGGATGAGTGCACCCTCCCCCTCCGCAGATGTATACTTACCTTGATCCAACGCTTGTGGCCTCTCTGTATTTTTACATCCCCTGTGATGTGATGTCACATCTCCACCCCCTCCTCTCCTCCTCCAACCGCTAAATGCCTTGTCCCACTCTCCTGACCTATCAGATCCCACCCATCCTCTCTGCAGATGTATACTTACCTTGATAAAATGCTCATGGCATCCGGTTATTGTTTACATTCCCTGTGATGTGATGTCACATCCCTGGCCGCTGCTCCCCTCTTCCAATCACAGAATGGCTTGCCCCATTCCCCTGACCAATCAGAGCCCACCCTCCCCCTCCGCAGATATATACTTACTTTGATCCAACACACGTGGCATCCAGGTATTGCTTACATCCCCTGTGATGTGATGTCACACCTCCACCCCCTGCTCCTTCTGCAATCACTTTATGCCTTGCCCAGCTCCCCTGACCTATCAGATCCCACCCTCCACTTCCGAAGATGCATACTTACCTTGATCCAATGCTTTTGGCCTCCGGGTATTGTTTACACCCACTGTGATATGATGTTAGATCTCTGCCCCCTGCTCTCCTTCTCCAATCACTTCATGCCTTGCCCAGCTCCCCTGACCTATAAGATCCAACCTTCCCTTTCAAAGATGTATAATTACCTTGAGCCAACACTCATGGCCCCTGGGTATTGTTTACATCCCTTGTTATGTAATGTCAAATCTCACCCAACTCCTCTCCTCCAATCACAGAATGCCTTGCCCCACTCCCCTGACCAATGAGATCCTAGCCTCTCCCTCCGCAGATGTATACTTACCTTGATCTAACGATCATGGCCCCCTGGTATTGTTTACATTCCCAGAGATGTGATGTCACATCTCTGCTCCCTCCTCTCCACCTCCAATCACAGAATGCCTTGGATTCCTTGAGTAAAATAAAAGGAATTTTGTGAATGGGCAGGGATGCCCCTGAAACGCGTCAATCTTGGCTGACTGCGGTCGGTGGACGGTGATGTGACCGGATACTACTGTGTTACATAGTCGGGGGGATACCATGTTGGGTCAACAGACAGTGTGGCCTCTCGTTTGTTGTTAAAGCCTGATGAAAACGTTTGTTTGTGAGTACTTTTATCCCTTGTTTTATTTATTGTAATTAACGATTTTACACACGGAGGTGGCGCTCTGTTCCCTTTTGTTTTCTATGTTCGTGGTGGAAGCCCCAGAGCCTCGGATGAGCAGCCCCTCAAGTCTGTGTAAAAAAACTGTGATAAACTGTTGAAAACTTTGAGTGAGCAACAGCAAGTGTATTGTCCAGCTGGCAGCCATTAGCGCCAAGAGCTAAAGAAAACTTTACTGCTCGATTGGCATCCGCCACTCCCCACAGCGCCCAGAACATGTTATGTGTTGCAGCTGGCATGCTGCAGGATAACATTTTTACATTTGCCACAGCCCTCCACACATAACAAACAGCTTTTTGCATACACTTCGGCAGATAGAAACAATGTTCCAAAACATAAATGTAAACATAATCACTGTTCTGGTGATCTGCGCAAGGTCTGAAGGACATCAGGAAGTTGCCTTGTATATGCATTGAGACTGCGTTGGGTGTTGAGCCCTAAGTGCCTGCATTTGACTTTATACTAGTCTCGTGCAGCCTAGTGTACAGCAAAACCCAGACTGGAGAGGGTCACTTGTGCTGCAGTGCTCATGTACTAACAAGGAGGAAAGAGCAGAGTGTGTTATGTGACTTTTTCAGAGGGTTGCATTGATTGATTCATGCAAGCCTTTGAGAAAGTCACATGACAAAACGCGTCAGTGCAGGGCTACCACTGTTTCTTTTGCGAGGTTTGCAACTTCAGAGATCCCTGCTGAGGTTGTCTGATTTGACTGTTTGGAAGTACATTTTTTACTTAATAAAACATTATATCAAGATACTGCACAATGGGAGCGCTTATCTTTTCATTCCATGATGGTCAAGTGCTGGAAGGAGGTCAATAAGGTGATACAAGGTGATCTAGGTGCTGATCTGGCTGTTAGTATAAGAGAGGTACCTGTGGAGGACTGAACGGAGGGAGTGAGAAGGAGAAGTTATAGGCATACGTACAGGATTCTATTGAAAAGGATAGAAAGATATCCATGGATCATCTATAATAGAAGCGCATTACAGAGAGATACCTGGTGAGTGCAATAGAGAGCTAATAAGGAGCACAGTTGCACATCGCAGATTGGGAATGTATTATTATGAAGAATAAGCACGGTGTTGTTTTTCACTGAAACTGTTTTTTTGTTATAAAAGAAGACATTCTTTTCAAGTTTTTTTTCCCCCCTTTTTCATGATGCTAAACTTTATCTGGAAAATTGAAGAGATTTTGTCTCTTCCCCGCTGTACATTTAGCCCTGATTCCCCAAAGCAGAGCTAAATGTAGAAAACAACTACCCGCCCGGCGCCCAGAACTGCTTGGCCCGGGCGTCGGGAGATAGGAATTCCACACCCTTACCCTAGAGATTTTGTCTCTTCCCCGCTGTACATTTAGCCCTGATTCCCCAAAGCAGAGCTAAATGTAGAAAACAACTACCCGCCCGGCGCCCAGAACTGCTTGGCCCGGGCGTCGGGAGATAGGAATTCCACACCCTTGCTGCCCCTCTACTCCCTGCTGCCACGAGGCCGGACCTTGGTTGGCCTTGTGGGAAATCCGGCCCTGTATACACATTTGTGAATATATGTTTGCATTTAAGATTGATTGATACATGATTTACAATTGGGGCTTATTGCAATATAGTGGTTAGCACTGATTTGCAAACTGCACTTTAAGAATTGCACATAAGAGGATAGCACTGATACTGCACATTAGAGGATTACACTTCATGAAATTATAGACAAGTGGAAGCACATGTCATATTGATTCTAGACAGTTTCCGCATATCAGGGTTTATTAGGCACAGCGCAACACAGCTGAATATATAATCCTACAGATGTGCATACACTTTTGAGGTATTTGCATCTTGCCACCTAATAACTTGATTATTTCATCCTAGCGCGGTTTCTTTGTTATAGTCACTTCAAGAAACTGTTGCTATGCCTGTGACAGATAAGAAAACTGGTAGTAATTAAGGCCAACTCTGATCGGGCGTGCAGATAGACACCAGTGCTCCGAGTGGGGCATGTATTTGCTATGAAAGTGTCATGAGTATGACAGCTTCTCCGTATATTGTTTGCACGGACTCAGCCAGTTGATTCCCCAGCCGGCATCTGAATGTAAACAATGGGGCCGAGGATGCTGGCTGATATAATTACCCTAATATGGCCATGGCTGCACAGCCAACAGCTTCTTAGTAACCAATGACGTTTCTGAACTACAGTGGGGGAAGCCTTATGGGAACGCTGAGGGACTAGTTCACTATCAGGTCCGCATCCCTTGTGAGTGACAGCAGGCACTTTTACATGGCACACATTTACATGGGCATGACGAATTACATGACCAATATACAGCCTGCTATTGGCTATGGAATCCACCCAATACAACCATTAGCAAAGCAGACCTGATGGGGAACTAGTCTCTCAGCTTCCCCACCTGGCATTGTCCATCCACTCTTAATACCCCTCAGCTGCTTCATGTATATATACTGTA